TTTAAGTTTGGTTTGATTCCAGAAGATTTGGTGTTATAAAAAATGCGTTAATAGATGAAGAATGAACATAATTCAAAAAAAAATTATACTTTCGTCATATTTCCATCTTCATTGTGAAGACATATTCAATCTCTAAAAAAGGTCTTAACAGAAGAACCACATAATCTCACCGTCAGACTCGTCGCACCGTCAGACTAGTCAAACCGTCGCACCTTATCGAATATGTTTACAATTTACAATTGTTAAATTTGCGAAATTCGATAAGGTGCGACGGTTTGACTAGTCTGACGGTGCGACGAGGTTGACGGTGCGACGAGTCTGACAGTGAGATTATGTGGTTCTTCTGTTAAGACCTTTTTTAGAGATTGAATATGTCTTCACAATGAAGATGGAAATATGACGAAAGTGTGACTTTTTGTTGAATTATGTTCATTCTTCATCTATTAATGCATTTTTTATAACACCAAATCTTCTGGAATCGAACCAAACTTAACTTTAAAATTTTTTTTTGGGAGAACATGCATTGTGAGAAACAAAAAGGTGTTAAAAACTGAGAGCTAGATTTAGATTCATCGTAAGATACTTTATGACTGAGATGATAATTGATAAGTTTATAGTTTGCAGTAGCCAAATTTGCGAAAACCGATAAGGTGCGACGAGTTTGACGGGTACTAACGGTGTGTTGAGTTTGACTGGTGTGACGGTTTGTGAAAATAAACCGTTGGTCTAAATTAAGTTCTGATGCTTCGGTGTGGTGTATAGGGGTCATTATAACATATTTAACGAGTTTTTGTTATCTGTAATTCATGCGGAAAAAAACTATTTCCTACCCTAAGCCAATGTGTTAGAAGACAAGTTTGACAAGTTTGACGGGTACTGACGAGTTTAACGGGTTTGACAAGGCATGAAGATTTTACCCGATAAAAAAAAACTATTTCCTACCCTAAGCCAATGTGTTAGAAGACAAGTTTGACAAGTTTGACGGGTACTGACGAGTTTAACGGGTTTGACAAGGCATGAAGATTTTACCCGATAAAATATATATGATTAAAAGGATGTTTGGAGAGTACACATGATTCAAATACAACTAATTAAAAAGAGGATCATGGATTCATGAAGAAGAATCTTGACGTTCCTCTGGAGGCACCATTACTTCTTGACGTTCCTCATGGATTCCCTTTCTTCCCTTTCGACCTTTGGTTTATCTCTTTGTTCATTGCTTTTTGGAAGGTGGATCTGTCGATCCAAAGGCAATGTATGGACTTTTAACATCTTTTTTTCTTTTGCGCATCGTTCGTTTACTCTGTTGAACCGACTCCTTAGGAGTAGCAGAAACCTCCTCATGCATTGAAAAAGCCACATTCTCTTCTAAAAAACGAGGTCTCAACTCGAGCTCGGTGTTTGTGTTATAGTAACTACCCGTTGAAATATCATCCTCTTTGTTGCGCTTTATCTCAGACCAATCTTTTGCTTCAACGGTGATTCATGTCTTCTTCAGAACCCTTTCAATTTTTTCAATTATTCTTCTTTCGATTTTTTCAGTTAACCGAATGGTTTCATATGGTTAACACTTCATTGTAATCTTGGGAGCCTGATGAATGTCTTTCAAATCATATACAAAAAGAACCTGGAAAAATAAAATTAACACCCATTATCAGTTTTGTTTGACCGGTGTGACCAGTTTGACCAGTTTTATAATATTAGTCAAACTCGTCAAACTTCGATAAGGTGCGACGGTTTGATTAGTGTGACGGTGCGACGAGTTTGACAGTGCGACGAGTCTGACGGTGAGATTATGTGGTTCTTCTGTTAAGACCTTTTTTAGAGATTGAATATGTATTCACAATGAAGATGGAAATATGACGAAAGTGTGACTTTTTGTTGAATTATGTTCATTCTTCATCTATTAATGCATTTTTTATAACACCAAATCTTCTGGAATCGAACCAAACTTAACTTTAAAATTTTTTTTTGGGAGAACATGCATTGTGAGAAACAAAAAGGTGTTAAAAACTGAGAGCTAGATTTAGATTCATCGTAAGATACTTGATGACTGAGATGATAATTGATAAGTTTATAGTTTGCAGTAGCCAAATTTGCGAAAACCGATAAGGTGCGACGAGTTTGACGGGTACTAACGGTGTGTTGAGTTTGACTGGTGTGACGGTTTATGAAAATAAATCGTTGGTCTAAATTAAGTTCTGATGCTTCGTTGTGGTGTATAGGGGTCATTATAACATATTTAACGAGTTTTTGTTATCTGTAATTCATGCGGGAAAAAATTATTTCCTACCCTAAGCCAATGTGTTAGAAGACAAGTTTGACGAGTTTGACGGGTACTGACGAGTTTGATGGGTTTGACAAGACATGAAGATTTTACCCGATAAAATATATATGATTAAAAGGATGTTTGGAGAGTACACATGATTCAAATACAACTAATTAAAAAGAGGATCATGGATTCATGAAGAAGAATCTTGACGTTCCTCTGGAGGCACCATTACTTCTTGACGTTCCTCATGGATTCCCTTTCTTCCCTTTCGACCTTTGGTTTATCTCTTTGTTCGTTGTTTTTTGGAAGGTGGATCTGTCGATCCAAAGGCAATGTATGGACTTTTAACATCTTTTTTTCTTTTGCGCATCGTTCGTTTACTCTGTTGAACCGACTCCTTAGGAGTAGCAGAAACCTCCTCATGCATTGAAAAAGCCACATTCTCTTCTAAAAAACGAGGTCTCAACTCGAGCTCGGTGTTTGTGTTATAGTAACTACCCGTTGAAATATCATCCTCTTTGTTGCGCTTTATCTCAGACCAATCTTTTGCTTCAACGGTGATTCATGTCTTCTTCAGAACCCTTTCAATTTTTTCAATTATTCTTCTTTCGATTTTTTCAGTTAACCGAAT